ACTGAGGATCTAGGTAGGGACATGAATAGTAGAACACAGGCATAATACCTAGTTGATCATCGGGAGGCTAATTAAACCGATTGTTTCAGTTTCACTTTCAGTTTGTACAACCATTAACCATGCATATTCGTGCGCCGGTTTTGGTTGCCATGTTTTGGCTGCCTATTTGAATGAACATTAGGAGAAAGACAGGAAGCGTTGAACCTAGAGTGGAAAAGAAAATGGAGAATTTCAGTGGTTCAAAGTTGCGATGAAATTGAGATGCACAAATGCCACTGTTTAGAACACTCAACCAAATCACTCAGTATCTCTAACCATCGGGTATGATCTTCCCGAGGTCCCCATCCAGGAAGCCTAACGTGACCTATGTAACCCAGACTCCTGGTTAAGGTTTTCATACCCTCATACCAGGTATTAGCTTGACCAGCCTTGACTTTCTTCCACCCTTTACCTGTCTCGACAAACATCGCTCCCCTTGGCAGCTTATCTGTTGATATGCGTAACACATGTCCAAACCAACGTAATCTATGGAGGTCGACCACCTTCTCTAGTGTGTGACCGCGGTTAGCCAAAACTCTGCCCCTAACCTCAGTATTGCTCGTCCGGCTGCCCCACCAGATTCATGCAGTGCTACGGCAGACAATCGCCGGAGTATAATGCCAGCGAGACGTTTAGAGCCGATGTTGATTAAACTACTACCTCTGTGGTTTCACAAGAGGAACTATCACCTTTCTTGTAAATCGGTGTTATCACCAATTCACACTATTCATCTGGAACCTCTCCTAATTCCCATATTCAACGGTGGTCGCCCGGTGGTAACGTCACCAAACTTTCACCCCGGGGATGTGTGTTCGAATCCCACCACCACCGCCTGACTTGCTCCATTGCGCGTTGAATGGCAGCCCTTTGATTGGCCGGCTCCCCCTTCCTGAAAATTATATCTTTGCATGTTCAATAAAAAGGGAAGCAAAATAAAAAGTATTAAAAAATGAAAATAAGGGTCCAGGAATTTCGTCAAATCCAAGATCGGTTGTAGTTTTTTTTATACAAGATATAGCACAACCCACGTTTGAGAGCTTGTTGCTTTAGTCTCTAGGGTCATGAATGGGTTGGAAACATTCTGGATCTCTCTGCTGGTTCCACACGAGTATTGAAGGGTTCGATTTTATTACGTGAGGAATTCTGTTGTGTAACGATAATATAATCAACCGAAATTATCCCCTCTTAACGAGTAAAGGTACAAGGGGGTCTAATTGCCACTAGCTGAACAGGAATAAAGCCCTCTTTAGACAATGCAAAACAAACCGATACGAGTGGAATTAAGGTGGTGTCCTTTGTCTTTAAATAAACATCGTGGGCGCACGCCCAAGTGTACAAGTTTTGGTTCGTAGACAGCCAGAGGAAAGTTTGACTTGCCAATTGTGGAATAGCGCGCATTCCAGGGTGTGGGAACCCATGAAGAGCATAAAACACCCCTTATCACATTGATTCAGATACGAGAGACCTGGTATCATTTTTGAGATATCACAAAAGATAGAGATGTCTGGAGCTGTCAGTGAAAATCTACAGAGCGGTAAGAAGAAAGATTGACCCAGGAGAAGGGAAACTTGTCAGAGAGTCGCCATGCGTTCTAAGCTCACAGTCGGTAATTACATAATTGGGTTTAGACAGGAAAGAGTAAAAATAAAGATATATGTCTTATATCAGTTGTGGGAAGGGGGACAGTAAAAATACTGGAACGCGTTGAATAAACCCAATAGCAGTATATTAATGGTCTGGGGGCAGTGTCAATTTAATTGGCTCACTGCCGACCAATCGGTCATGGGNCAGCAAAACACGTCATGCGAGGGCGGCGTTGACTCTCAGCTTTAGATCCTAGGGAACGGATGCTATCGTCAGCTATGGTGTGACACAAAAATGTAAGAGAAGTACTGTTAAATGAACACTTGTCTGGATTGATATTAACACCTTAGAGGCAAATCATATTACAAATAAGACGCGAGTGTAATGGGTATTCCGCATCATTCTTGCTAGCCATAAGGATTCCACTGATGTGAAAAAACCTCGAAAGGTATGTTCAATGAATCGCTGAAACGTTTCCGAAATGTTTCGTAAACCAACGTACGTGTGAAGAAATTTGAAGAGGCTGAATGGCATTATCATTTTGGTCTTGGACATATCGGCTGAATCAGCTGGTATCGGGTGCCAAGCTCACACCAGATAATTTTGTTCAGAAAAGATGGAATTGCCATAGAGACCGAAGGTGTAGGACGGAATATGCGGGACAGCATAGTGATCAGGAACAGTTGCCCTGTTTCGATAGGTGATTACTTCAGTTTAATACCAAAATCCCCTAAGCGGTGACTAGGGGTTTTAAATCTGGCAGTCAGCCAACTCGGGACAAATGGTTGATGCGAGTCAGAATTGTGAACACCGGAGAGTTCAATTTGTCGAGAACTGTCATGTAAAAACAGATGTAGAAGAGTACCCAGAAATTCACAGCTGCCCAGGGTTGACGTGAATTCGGCCCTCAATAGAGATGATGCAAAAGCGTGTTGTACGATGAGTTATCCGCTGGGTTTACCCTTAGCTCTGGAGTCAGGTAAGGTTTTCCCCTGTCGCCGGTGTTACTCAATTACACCGTAGATTAGACAATACGATAAGTGCTGGTCGACTACCCCGGAGTGCAGCTTGGCTCAGACATATGGGTTACTGAACTCGAGTTTGCGGATGATGTCGTTGTACTTAGAGACAGAGCATGGACAACCTCCAGCATGTTGTCAGTCGTACAAATCAGTTTGGCCAGGCCACTGGGCTAGAGACCAACACGTGGAAAAGGAAGACATTTTCAACCGAAACTTATACAATGACACAACCCCTATCGATTAATGGGAGTTTGTCAAATCAACCGGAGTCTTTAAGTATCTTCGCTTTACGCTAAGACCAAACGGCCAGTCTGAGGATGAGATCCAACTCCGTGTGGATGGAGCTAATAGAGCGTTCCTACAACTCCACAAACCGTTCTGGAATCGATGCGAAATAAGCTTAACCATTAAGCTGGGGGGGTTATCAAGCTTCTACCCGCCCAATCTTCACTTATGTTTGTGAAACCTGATCGCTAGGGGTTCACGATACAAGGAAGCTCAAAGTCTTTGATCATTGGTGCCTATGCCGCATCTTGAAAATAACATAGATAGATCGAATTTCCAATGATGACAAGTTTTGGTAAGCTTTCAAAAGTGCTACAACGTCGGCGCCTTCAGTGGTTTGCTAATGTGCTCCGAAGGTCAAATATTCAACTCTCGCGACAGACGGCAATCCCCGCACCGTGCCGTGGTGGTCAACTGAAGACCTGGAGCAGTACGATCAAACGGGGTTTGGAATGACTGGGCCTCCAATCCGTATATGGAATTCGAAACTGGAATCAGAACTGTATTTCTTACTGCGTCAACCTTGCTACTGATCGTCATGAATGGGCCGCCAATAGTAGAGATATCCAGGAAACCGACTTATTCTCCCGCAGAAGTTAGTCGATAAAAAGTAAGTAGAAGTAAGTAAATGTTATCCACGCAACTAAGCTTCGAAACGAATTTTGGCAATTTCTACTCCCAGCTCAGTTCAGTTTAAACAACCGCCAAAGCTGCATTTTATTGAGCTGTGATTTTTAGTTGCTACTGTTTCACTGTCTATTTGGTCTATTCATATTGAACAAATAGACTGGCAAAATTGAAAGCTGGACAGAGTTACAAAGCATATAGACGGGATACCGGTAAGGAGAAGTTCCGCACCAATGGAACAGATGCACGAGAGCCACTTTTAATACCCAATTATCCACCATCGCGTAATGGCACCAGATTAGTCAATCCTATAACAAATTGTAACGCATAATACGTATGCATAGTTTGCGATAGTTTTCAGTCATTTCAATAAGACTAGACCTGCAACCCACTTAGAACTTGGTCGTTTCTATTCGCGTGAAACAGTTCTTGCTCGTCTGTTAGTCACGTTTCAACTTACCACACATTCCGTGCATCCTTTTTCCACTTTCTTTGCATTCAACTCAGAAACATGACAGTTATCGCAAACGTAACAGTGGAAACTGGGCAAATCATTCTTCTCTTTGATCACTGACAATAAATTGCCTTCGTTGTCCGAATAGAGTTCATAGATAATGGGTTCAACCGGAGGAATATCTGTGATCGGCTTTTTCACCAGCCATTTTTGGATTGCATCCTGCACCTCGGATTCATTCAAATCATTTGGTGGAATTGTG